TTGGTGGTCGGTGGGAAGAATGTCCCTTACATTGGGGGTCGGTGGGAAGAATGTCCCTTACATTGGGGGGTCAGTGGGAAGAATGTCCCTTACATTGGGGGTCAGTGGGAAGAATGTCCCTTACATTGGTGGTCGGTGGGAAGAATGTCCCTTACATTGGGGGTCGGTGGGAAGAATGTCCCTTACATTGGGGGTCGGTGGGAAGAATGTCCCTTACGTTGGGGTCGGTGGGAAGAATGTCCCTTACGGGGGTGGGGGAAGATGTTCGGTGGGAAGAATGTCCTTACATTGGGGATCAGTGGGAAGAATGTCCCCTTACGTTGGGGGTCAGTGGGAAGAATGTCCCGTACATTAGGGGTCAGTGGGAAGAATGTCCCTTACATTGGGGGTCAGTGGGAAGAATGTCCCTTATATTGGGGGTCAGTGGGAAGAATGTCCCTTACATTGGGGGTCAGTGGGAAGAATGTCCCTTATATTGGGGGGTCAGTGGGAAGAATGTCCCTTACATTGGTGGTCAGTGGGAAGAATGTCCCTTACATTGGGGGGTCAGTGGGAAGAATGTTCCTTACATTGGGGTCAGTGGGAAGAATGTCCCTTACATTGGGGGTCAGTGGGAAGAATGTCCCTTACATTGGGGGTCAGTGGGAAGAATGTCCCTTACATTGAGGGTCAGTGGGAAGAATGTCCCTTACATTGGGGGTCAGTGGGAAGAACGTCCCTTACATTGGGGGTCAGTGGGGAAGAATGTCCCTTAAATTGGGGGGTCATTGGGGGTCAGTGGGAGGAATGTCCCTTACATTGGGGGTCAGTGGGAAGAATGTCCCCTTACATTGGGGGTCAGTGGGAAGAATGTCCCTTACATTGGTGATCAGTGGGAAGAATGTCCCTTACATTGGGGAAGAATGATCAGTGGGAAGTGGAAGAATGTCCCTTACATTGGTGGTCAGTGGGAAGAATGTCCCTTACATCGGTGGTCAGTGGGAAGAATGTCCCTTACATTGGGGGGTCAGTGGGAAGAATGTCCCTTACATTGGGGATCAGTGGGAAGAATGTCCCTTACATTGGGGGGTCAGTGGGAAGAATGTCCCTTACATTGGGGGGTCAGTGGGAAGAATGTCCCTTACATTGGGGGTCAGTGGGAAGAATGTCCCTTACATTGGGGGATCAGTGGGAAGAATGTCCCTTACATTGATGATCAGTGGGAAGAATGTCCCTTACATTGGGGGGTCAGTGGGAAGAATGTCCCTTACATTGGGGGGTCAGTGGGAAGAATGTCCCTTACATTGGGGGTCAGTGGGAAGAATGTCCCTTACATTGGGGGTCAGTGGGAAGAATGTCCCTTACATTGGGGGATCAGTGGGAAGAATGTCCCTTACATTGGGGGGTCAGTGGGAAGAATGTCCCTTACATTGGGGGTCAGTGGGAAGAATGTCCCTTACATTGGGGGATCAGTGGGAAGAATGTCCCTTACATTGGGGGGGAAGAATCAGTGGGAAGAATGTCCCTTACATTGGGGGTCAGTGGGAAGAATGTCCCTTACATTGGGGGTCAGTGGGAAGAATGTCCCTTACATTGGGGTCAGTGGGAAGAATGTCCCTTACATTGGGGGTCAGTGGGAAGAATGTCCCTTACATTGGGGTCAGTGGGAAGAATGTCCCTTACATTGGGGGGTCAGTGGGAAGAATGTCCCTTACATTGGTGGTCAGTGGGAAGAATGTCCCTCAGATTGGTGATCAGTGGGAAGAATGTCCCTTACATTGGGGGTCAGTGGGAAGAATGTCCCTTACATTGGGGGTCAGTGGGAAGAATGTCCCTTACATTGGGGGTCAGTGGGAAGAATGTCCCTTACATTGGGGGTCAGTGGAAGAATGTCCCTTACAATATATAATGGTGTCACTGTTTTGCAGTTCAGTATGACAACGTGACTCCCTTGTGCTCTTATTATTTGTTATGGGGGGGGGGGGGCTAAACAGGGTTGGAAGTGACTCCCGGAGGGGACATTTCTGGAGATAAGTGGGGATAGCGTGGCAGGAAATTATGGAAGGGAGGGATGGAGTCAGCATATGAAGTTCTCGGATGGGGAGAGGGAGAAGGAGGAGAGGTGTGAGGGTAGGGACATCAGGGAGGGAGGAAGGTGAGGGTCCATGGCTGGGGAAGGCCTGTCCTGCAGTTGAGGGATAGGTAGGTAGGAAGGCCTGTCCTGCAGTTGAGGGATAGGTAGGTAGGAAGGTCCCTTACATTGAGGGATAGGTAGGTAGGAAGGTCCCTTACAATGAGGGATAGGTAGGTAGGAAGGTCCCTTACATTGAGGGATAGGTAGGTAGGAAGGTCCCTTACACTGAGGGATAGGTAGGTAGGAAGGTCCCTTACATTGAGGGATAGGTAGGTAGGAAGGTCCCCTTACAATGAGGGATAGGTAGGTAGGAAGGTCCCTTACATTGAGGGATAGGTAGGTAGGAAGGTCCCTTACATTGAGGGATAGGTAGGTAGGAAGGTCCCTTACATTGAGGATAGGTAGGTAGGAAGGTCCCTTACATTGAGGGATAGGTAGGTAGGGATAGGAAGGTCCCTTACATTGAGGGATAGGTAGGTAGGAAGGTCCCTTACATTGAGGGGTATAGGTAGGTAGGAAGGTCCCTTACATTGAGGGATAGGTAGGTAGGAAGGTCCCTTACATTGAGGGATAGGTAGGTAGGAAGGTCCCTTACATTGAGGGATAGGTAGGTAGGAAGGTCCCTTACATTGAGGGATAGGTAGGTAGGAAGGTCCCTTACATTGAGGGATAGGTAGGTAGGAAGGTCCCTTACATTGAGGGATAGGTAGGTAGGAAGGTCCCTTACATTGAGGGATAGGTAGGTAGGAAGGTCCCTTACATTGAGGGATAGGTAGGTAGGAAGGTCCCTTACATTGAGGGATAGGTAGGTAGGAAGGTCAGGCTTTATTATTAGGTGTGGTGGCCGGACGTCATCTATCAGACAGCAAGCTCTCATGAGTGGTGGTTGTCAACTTACAAGGAATTGGCGACAAATGTCACCCCCTCACATCTCCATAGGGCCATATAGAACATGGATTACGTCATGTTATGGAAGATTTTCAGATTGAAGACCTAATGAAAGAAATGATCAGGCTGCATCAGCTCAGGACCCCACAAGATGCTCCATGTCTGTGAATGATACATTGGAGAGAAAGTAGAGGGACAGCTGTCTGTTGGGGCAATAAGTTCATTGTAGCTACAGTTGTACAGATTCTGGGAGCAAATCTTCTCACTGGTGACACCACCAGGACCCACCATAGTCCAGCCTGTAGTCAGCTCAGGCCCTTCAGAAGATGCTCCATGTCTGTGAAGAGTACACAGGGGGGAAGTAGAGAGATGTCGAGGGTGGTGTATAGCTGTCCATTGTAGCTCCAGTTACACAGATTCCTGTAGCATCTCATCAGTGACACCACCAGTACCCACCATAGTCCAGCCTGTAGTCAGCTCAGCTCAGACCCTTCAGAAAATGTTCCATGTCTGAGTACCCGGGGGAAGGGGGGCATTCAGCTCAGGACCCCACAAGAGAGAGAGATGTTGAGGGTGGAGTACAGCTGTCTATTGAGAAATCTGGAGAAATGTTAGAAGCTCTATTATAGAGGGTCCATTATAGAGGGTCCAATTATAGAGGGTCCATTGTAGAGGGTCCATTGTAGAGGGTCCATTGTAGAGGGTCCATTGTAGAGGGTCCATTGTAGAGGGTCCATTATAGAGGGTCCAATTATAGAGGGTCCATTGTAGAGGGTCCATTGTAGAGGGTCCATTGTAGAGGGTCCATTGTAGAGGGTTCATTGTAGAAGGTCCATTGTAGAGGGTCCATTGTAGAGGGTCCATTGTAGAGGGTCCATTGTAGAGGGTCCATTGTAGAAGGTCCATTGTAGAGAATCCATTGTAGAGGGGGTCCATTGTAGAAGGTCCATTGTAGAAGGTCCATTGTAGAGGGTCCATTGTAGAGGGTCCATTGTAGAAGGTCCATTGTAGAAGGTCCATTGTAGAAGGTCCATTGTAGAGGGTCCATTGTAGAGGGTCCATTGTAGAGGGTCCATTGTAGAGGGTCCATTGTAGAAGGTCCATTGTAGAGGGGTCCATTGTAGAAGGTCCATTGTAGAGGGTCCATTGTAGAAGGTCCATTGTAGAGGGTCCATTGTAGAGGGTCCATTGTAGAGGGTCCATTGTAGAGGGTCCATTGTAGAGGTCCATTGTAGAGGGTCCATTGTAGATGGTCCATTGTAGAGGGTCCATTGTAGAGGGTCCATTGTAGAGGGTCCATTGTAGAGGGTCCATTGTAGAAGGGTCCATTGTAGAGGTCCATTGTAGAGGGTCCATTGTAGAGGGTCCATTGTAGAAGGTCCATTGTAGAGGGTCCATTGTAGAGGGTCCATTGTAGAGGGTCCATTGTAGAGGGTCCATTGTATGAGGTCCATTGTAGAGGGTCCATTGTAGAGGGTCCATTGTAGAGGGTCCATTGTAGAAGGTCCATTGTAGAGGGTCCATTGTAGAAGGTCCATTGTAGAAGGTCCATTGTAGAGGGTCCATTGTAGAGGGTCCATTGTAGAGGGTCCATTGTAGAGGGTCCATTGTAGAAGGTCCATTGTAGAGGGTCCATTGTAGAGGGTCCATTGTAGAGGGTCCATTGTAGAGGGTTCATTGTAGAGGGTCCATTGTAGAAGGTCCATTGTAGAGGGTCCATTGTAGAAGGTCCATTGTAGCTCACGCTACACAGATTCCAGTAGCACCTCATTGGTGATACCACCAGAGCCCACCATAATCCATCCTGTGGTCACCACAGACCCCTCACAGGATGCTCCGTATATCTGAAGAGTACATTGGAGGAGATGTTGGGGGTGGTGTATATTGTAGCTGTCTGTTGAGAAATGTGGAGAAATAATCGAGGCTCCTTACTAACCTCAGTTCTGGTTCTGCTTGATTCAAGCTCCTCTTCCACCATTCTCAGTATCTCGTCGGATTGGACATCCATACCAGAACCGCACACCCCCGAAGAGGAAGAAACCTCGAACCTCTTTCAGTCGGCTCCAGATCTGTGAGCTGGAGAAGAGATTTCACCGGCAGAAATATCTGGCATCAGCCGAAAGGGCTTCACTGGCCAAATCTCTGCGTATGAGTGACTCTCAAGTAAAGACCTGGTTCCAAAACCGACGCACCAAGTGGAGGTGAGCTGCCTACACTGCCTGAGATGGGGACACATGGGGGCGGGGAAAAGTCTCTGAGATGGGGACACATGGGGGGGGGAAAAGTCTCTGAGATGGGGACACATGGAGCAGAGAAAACTCCCCGAGATGGGGACATATGGGGCGGGGCAAATTCTCTGAGATGGGGACATATGGGGCAGGGAAAAGTCTCAGAGATGGGGACACATGGGACGGGGCAAACTCCCCGCGATTGGGACACATGGGGGCGGGGGTAAACTCCCCGAGATGGGGACACATGGGGCGGGTAAACTCTCTGAGATGGGGACACAAGGGTGGGTTAAACCTCTAGATGGGGACACATGGGGCGGGTTAAAATCCTTGATGGGGGACACATGGGGAGGGGTAAAATCCTTGAGATGGGGACACATGGGGCGGGGTAAACTCTTCGAGATGGGGACACAAGGGGTGGGTAAACTCCTCGAGATGGGGACACATGGGGCGGGGTAAAATCCTTGATATGGGGACACATGGGGCGGGGTAAACTCTTCGAGATGGGGACACATGGGGCGGGGTAAACTCCTCGAGATGGGGACACATGGGGCGGGGTAAACTCTCCCGAGATGGGGACACATGGGGCGGGGTAAACTCCTCGAGACGGGGACACATGGGGCGGGGTAAACTCCTCGAGATGGGGACACATGGGGCGGGGTAAACTCCTCGAGATGGGGACACATGGGGCGGGGTAACTCCCCGAGATGGGGACACATGGGGCGGGGTAAACTCCCGAGATGGGGACACATGGGGCGGGGGTAAACTTCTCAAAATGGGGACACATGGTGGACACATTGGCGGGGTAAACTCCTCGAGATGGGGACACATGGGGCGGGCGTAAACTCCTCGAGATGGGGACACATGGGGAGATGGGGACGGGGTAAACTCCTCGAGATGGGGACACATGGGGCGGGGTAACCTCCTTCGAGATGGGGACACATGGGGCGGGGTAAACATGGGGACACATGGGGCGGGGTAAACTCCCTCGAGATGTGGACACATGGGGGGGTACACATGGGGACACATGGGGCGGGGTAAACTCCCCAATATGGGGACACATGGGGGCGGGGTAAACTCCTAGAGATGGGGACACATGGGGCGGGGTAAACTCCTCAGATGGGGACACATGGGGCGGGGTAAACTCCTAGAGATGGGGACACATGGGGCGGGGTAAACTCCCTAGATGGGGACACATGGGGCGGGGTAAACTCCCCGCATATGGGGACACATGGGGCGGGGTAAACTCCCCGCAATGGGGACACATGGGGGGGGTAAACTCCTAGAGATGGGGACACATGGGGCGGGGTAACCTTCCTAGATGGGGACACATGGGGCGGGGTAAACTCCTTGAGATGGGGACACATGGGGCAGGGTAAACTCCCCGAGATGGGGACACATGGGGCGGGGTAAACTCCCCCAGATGGGGACACATGGGGCGGGGTAAACTCCCCAAGATGGGGACACATGGGGCGGGGTAAACTCCCCGAGATGGGGACACATGGGGCGGGGTAAACTCCCAGATGGGGACACATGGGGCGGGGTAAACTCCCTAGATGGGGACACATGGGGCGGGGTAAACTCCCTAGATGGGGACACATGGGGCGGGGTAAACTCCCCGAGATAAACATGGGGCGGGGTAAATTCCCCGAGATGGGGACACATGGGGCGGGGTAAACTCCCCGAGATGGGGACACATGGGGGCGGGGTAAACTTCCCGAGATGGGGACACATGGGGCGGGGTAAACTTCCCGAGATGGGGACACATGGGGCGGGGTAAACTCCTCATATGGGGACACATGGGGCGGGATAAACTCCCTGAGATGGGGACACATGGGGCGGGGTAAACTTCCTGAGATGGGGACACATGGGGCGGGGCGGGATAAACTCCCTGAGATGGGGAAACTCTCATAAACTAGATGGGGACACATGGGGCGGGGTAAACTCTCCTAGATGTGGGACACATGGGGCGGGGTAAATTCCCCGAGATGGGGACACATGGGGCGGGGTAAACTTCCGAGATGGGGACACATGGGGGCGGGGTAAACTCCTCAATATGGGGACACATGGGGCGGGGTAAACTCCTCGCGATGGGGACACATGGGGCGGGGTAAACTCCCCGAGACGGGGAGGGGTAAACTTCCCGACGACACATGGGGGCTGGGGTAAACTTCCCCGAGATGGGGACACATGGGGGGGGGGGGTAAATTCCTCAATATGGGGACACATGGGGCGGGGTAAACTCCTCGCAATGGGGACACATGGGGCGGGGTAAATTCCCCAATATGGGGACACATGGGGCTGGGGTAAACTCCCCAAAATGGGGACACATGGGGCGGGGTAAACTCCCCGAGATGGGGACACATGGGGCGGGGTAAATTCGCCAATATTGGGGACACATGGGGCGGGGTAAATTCGCCAATATTGGGGACACATGGGGCGGGGTAAATTCCCAATATGGGGACACATGGGGCGGGGTAAATTCGCCATATTGGGGACACATGGGGCGGGGTAAACTCCCCAAGATGGGGACACATGGGGCGGGGTAAACTCCCCGAGATGGGGACACATGGGGCGGGGTAAATTCCCCAATATGAGGACACATGGGGCGGGGTAAACTCCCCGAGATGGGGACACATGGGGCGGGGTAAACTCCCCGAGATGGGGACACATGGGGCGGGGTAAATTCCCCAATATGAGGACACATGGGGCGGGGTAAATTCGCCAATATTGGGGACACATGGGGCGGGGTAAATTCGCCAATATTGGGGACACATGGGGCGGGGTAAATTCGCCAATATTGGGGACACATGGGGCGGGGTAAATTCGCCAATATTGGGGACACATGGGGCGGGGTAAATTCGCCAATATTGGGGACACATGGGGCGGGGTAAACTTCGCCAATATTGGGGACACATGGGGCGGGGTAAATTCACCAATATTTCTCGGGGGGACACATGGGGCGGGGTAAATTCGCCAATATTGGGCACACATGGGGCGGGGTAAATTCGCCAATATTGGGGACACATGGGGCGGGGTAAATTCGCCAATATTGGGGACACATGGGGCGGGGTAAACTCCCCGAGATGGGGACACATGGGGCGGGATAAACTCCCCAATATGGAGACACATGGGGCGGGATAAATTTCCCCAATATTGGGGACACATGGGGCGGGATAAATCCCCAATATGGGGACACATGGGGCGGGGTAAATTCGCCAATATTGGAGACACATGGGGCGGGGTAAACTCCCCAATATGGGGACACATGGGGCGGGGTAAACTCCCTCCTAGTACAGTGCCATCTGCATATCTATCTGGGAAGGTCCCACCTAGACAGAGTGAGATCAGCAGAACTAGAAGGAAGTCTGTAGACCAGCCTTTCCCAGGCAGACCTCTGTGGGGCCCCCGGGGGTTCCTAGGGGTAGCAGTTGGCAGTTGTAGATTGCCCTCCCCCCTAATGGTGCCTGAATGGATCTGGGGTCAGGTCAGGGTGAGGGACCTGCAGAACTTCTCTCAGATAACCATCCTCAATGTTCTCACAAGACATAGACCACCTAAATCCCCAAATCCCACCAATCTGACCACCAATGTAAGGGGGCCCTTCACCACTGAACACCACCCTGAACACCAATGTAAGAGGGCCCTCCATCACTGAACACCAATGTAAGGGGGCCCTTCACCTCTGAACACCAACGTAGGGGGCCCTTCACCTCTGAACACCAATGTAGGGGGCCCTCCATCACTGAACACCAATGTAAGGGGGCCCTTCAACACTGAACACCAATGTAAGGGGCCCTTCATCACTGAACACCAATGTAAGGGGGCCCTTCATCACTGAACACCAATGTAAGGGGGCCCTTCATCACTGAACACCAATGTAAGGGGGCCCTTCATCACTGAACCCCAATGTAAGGGGGCCCTTCATCACTGAACCCCAATGTAAGGGGCCCTCATCACTGAACACCAATGTAAGGGGGCCCTTCACCTCACTGAACACCAACGAACACCAACGTAGGGGGCCCTTCACCACTGAACACACCAATGTAAGGGGGCCCTCCATCACTGAACACACCAATGTAAGGGGGCCCTCTGAACACCAAAGTACCCTGAACACCAATGTAAGGGGGCCCTTCATCACTGAACACCAATGTAAGGGGGCCCTTCATCACTGACACCCCAATGTAAGGGGGCCCTTCATCACTGAACACCAATGTAAGGGGGCCCTTCATCACTGAACACCAATGTAAGGGGGCCCTTCATCACTGACCCCCAATGTAAGGGGGCCCTTCATCACTGACCCCCAATGTAAGACCCCCAATGTAAGAGGGCCCTCCATCACTGAACACCAATGTAAGGGGGCCCTTCACCTCTGAACACCAATGTAGGGGGCCCTTCACCTGACTGAACACCAATGTAGGGGGCCCTCCATCACTGAACACCAATGTAAGGGGGCCCTTCAACACTGAACACCAATGTAAGGGGGCCCTTCATCACTGACCCCCAATGTAAGGGGGCCCTTCATCACTGAACCCAATGTAAGGGGGCCCTTCATCACTGAACACCAATGTAAGGGGGCCCTTCACCACTGAACACCAATGTAAGGGGGCCCTTCACCACTGAACACCAATGTAAGGGGGCCCTTCACACTGAACACCAATGTAAGGGGGCCCTTCACCACTGAACACCAATGTAAGGGGGCCCTTCACACTGAACACCAATGTAAGGGGGCCCTTCACCATCACTGAACACCAATGTAAGGGGGAACCCTTCAGGGGGCCCTCACTGAACACCAATGTAAGGGGGCCCTTCACCACTGAACACTGTAAGGGGGCCCTTCACCAATGAACACCAATAAGGGGGCCCTTCACCACTGAACACCAATGTAAGGGGGCCCTTCACCACTGAACACCAATGTAAGGGGGCCCTTCACCACTGAACACACCAATGTAAGGGGGCCCTTCATCACTGAACACCAATGTAAGGGGGCCCTTCACCACTGAACACCAATGTAAGGGGGCCCTTCACCACTGAACACCAATGTAAGGGGGCCCTTCATCACTGACCCACCAATGTAAGGGGGCCCTTCACCACTGAACACCAATGTAAGGGGGCCCTTCACCACTGAACACCAATGTAAGGGGCCCTTCACCACTGAACACCAATGTAAGGGGGCCCTTCACCACTGAACACCAATGTAAGGGGGCCCTTCACCACTGAACACCAATGTAAGGGGGCCCTTCACCACTGAACACCAATGTAAGGGGGCCCTTCATCACTGAACACCAATGAAGGGGGCCCTTCACCACTGAACACCAATGTAAGGAGGCCCTTCATCACTGAACACCAATGTAAGGGGGCCCTTCACCACACTGAACACCAATGTAAGGGGGCCCTTCACCGCTGAACACCAATGTAAGGGGGCCCTTCACCGCTGAACACCAATGTAAGAGGGGCACCTTAGTGACATAAAAATGGAAACATATTTCTCTGTACAGCAGAGCTCAGACTGGAAGATGGAGAAGCAGCGCAAGAAACCAGTCAGCTGGACTACAGCGCTCATGTGCTAACACAGAGCATGCTGATAGGAGGAGAGAGCAGAATGACAAGGAGATGAGCTCACTACTCTGCTGCTAGGGGTGGGACAAGACCTATAGCAGAGTAAATGGGGTCCCCTCCCCTGACACACTGCAGCTCACACTATGACATCATGGAGCACATGACAGGGAGGGGGGATGGGGGTCCTGATGTCAGATATTGATTGTCCTGTCTGTGTGTCTTGCAGGCGTCAGACGGCGGAGGAGCGGGAAGCTGAGCGCCAACAGACCAATCGTATGATGATGCAGCTCCAACAAGAAGCCTTCCAGAAAAGTCTACAGCAGCCCCTCCCCCGAGACCCCCTGTGTGCTCACAACTCATCACTCTGCGCCCTTCAGAACCTGCAGCCCTGGGCTGAGGACACGCCCACCGAATGACATCATCAGAGGAGACTGTTGATATATGACATCATCAGAGGAGACTGTTGATATATGACATCATCAGAGGAGACTCCCGCCACATGACGGCATCAGAGGAGACTGCCGGTGTGTGACATCATCAGAGGAAACTGCTGGTGTGTGACATCATCAGAAGAGACTGCCGGTGTATGACATCATCAGAGGAGACTGTTGATATATGAAATCATCAGAGGAGACTGCCGGTGTGTGACATCATCAGAGGAGACTGCCGGTGTGTGACATCATCAGAGGAAACTGCCAGTGTATGACATCATCAGAGGAGACTGCCAGTGTATGACATCATCAGAGGAGACTGTTGATATATGACATCATCAGAGGAGACTGCCAGTGTGTGACATCATCAGAGGAGACTGCCGGTGTATGACATCATCAGAGAAGACTGCCGGTGTATGACATCATCAGAGGAAACTGCCAGTGTATGACATCATCAGAGAAGACTGCCGGTGTATGACATCATCAGAGGAGACTGTTGATATATGACATCATCAGAGGAAACTGCCAGTGTATGACATCATCAGAGGAGACTGTTGATATATGAAATCATCAGAGGAGACTGCCGGTGAGTGACATCATCAGAGGAGACTGCCGGTGTATGACATCATCAGAGGAAACTGCCGGTGTATGACATCATCAGAGGAGACTGCCGGTGTATGACATCATCAGAGGAGACTGCCAGTGTATGACATCATCAGAGGAAACTGCCAGTGTATGACATCATCAGAGGAGACTGCCGGTGGATGACATCATCAGAGGAGACTGCCGGTGGATGACATCATCAGAGGAGACTGCCGCTGGATGACATCATCAGAGGAGACTCCTGCCACATGACAGCATCAGAGGAGACTGCCCTGTATGACATCATCAGAGGAGACTGCCGGTGTGTGACATCATCAGAGGAGACTGCCCTGTATGACATCAGAGGAGACTGCCGGTGTGTGACATCATCAGAGGAGACTGCTGGTGTATGACATCATCAGAGGAGACTGCCGGTGTATGACATCATCAGAGGAGACTGCCGGTGTATGACATCATCAGAGGAGACTCCCACCACACGACATCATTATAGGAGACTGCCGATGCATGACATCATCACTGGTGTAAGACATCATGAGAGGAGGTCCCTTATATATGGCATCATTAGGAGGACACCACCAGAGTATGACATCATCAGAGGTGGTCCTTGGTATCACCAATCTATAATACCATCATAGGAGACTACAGAGTATGACATCGTCAGGGGCCTTCACAGTATGACATTGTAAGGGCCTCCAGTGTATGACATCGTCAGGGGCCTCCAGAGTATGACATCGTAAGGGGCCTCCAACATCTGACATCGTAAGGGGCCTCCAACGTATGACATCATATGGGGGGCCTCCAGTGTATGACATCGTAAGGGGCCTCCAGAGTATGACATTGTTAGGGGCCTCCAGAGCATGACATCATCAGGGGTCTCCAGTGTGACATCGTCAGCGGCCTCCGAAGTATGACATCGTCAGGGGCCTCTAGAGTGTGACATCATAAGGGGCCTCCAGTATATGGAGTCACTGGGAAATGAGATAATCAGAGGAGGTCCTTGGCATAAGACATCATCAAATCCGATTTCTAGTGTATGACATCATCAAAGGGAATCACTGCTATATGATATAACCCCCCAGTGTATGACATCATCAGAGGAGTTCTTCGGTCAGTCTGATATTTCATGAACTCCTCCTCCCCCTGGATAAGGGTGGAGTCAATAGGACAGAAGCTCCATTGTGGAGTGGACTGAAGTGGGTATGGCGATGGGGTGGGGATGGGGTGGGGGGGGTGGGGGGGGGTGGGGGGGTGGGGTCACATTTTTACTGTCAGACGCCTTATATAAAATCTTTGTTGTAGAAATAAAAATAAAAATCATCTCCACATTGATAAGGTGTGACTGGGGGGCCACACCTACCTACCTACCTACATCTACCCTACCCGAGTCCACACCTACCTACATTTACCCCTACCCGAGTCCACACCTACCTACATCTACACCTACCTGAGTCCACACCTACCTACATCTACACCTACCTGAGTCCACACCTACCTACCTACATCTACCCCTACCCGAGTCCACACCTACCTACATCTACACCTACCTGAGTCCACACCTACCTACATCTACACCTACCTGAGTCCACACCTACCTACCTACATCTACCCCTACCCGAGTCCACACCTACCTACATCTACACCTACCTGAGTCCACACCTACCTACCTATATCTACACCTACCCGAGTCCACACCAACCTACATCTACACCTACCCGAGTCCACACCTACCCACATCTACACCTACCCGAGTCCACACCTACCCGAGTCCACACCTACCAACATCTACACCTACCCTAGTCCACACCTACCCGAGTCCACACCTACCTACATCTACACCTACCCGAGTCCACACCTACCTACATCTACACCTGCCCGAGTCCACACCTACCTACATCTACACCTACCTACATCTACACCTACCCGAGTCCACACCTACCTACATCTACACCTGCCCGAGTCCACACCTACCTACATCTACACCTACCTACATCTACACCTACCCGAGTCCACACCAACCTACATCTACACCTACCCGAGTCCACACCTACCCGAGTCCACACCTACCCGAGTCCTCACCTACCCACATCTACACCTACCCGAGTCCACACCTACCCGAATCCACACCAACCTACCCGTACATCTACACCTACCCGAGTCCACACCAACCTACATCTACACCTACCTACATCCACACCTACCTACATCTACACCTACCCGAGTCCACACCTACCTACATCTACACCTACCTACATCTACACGTACCCGAGTCCACACCTACCTACATCTACACCTACCTACATCTACACCTACCCGAGTCCACACCTACCTACATCTACACCTACCCGAGTCCACACCTACCTACATCTACACCTACCCGAGTCCACACCTACCTACATCTACACCTACCCAAGTCCACACACCTACCTACATCTACACCTACCTGAGTCCACACCTACCTACATCTGCGCCTACCTACATCTACACCTACCCGAGTCCACACCAACCTACATCTACACATACCCGAGTCCACACCAACCTACATCTACACCTACCTGAGTCCACACCAACCTACATCTACACATACCCCCGAGTCCACACCAACCTACATCTACACATACCCAAGTCACACCAACCTACATCTACACCTACCCACATCTACACCTACCTACATCTATACCTACCTAAATCTACGCCTACCTACATCTACACCTACCCGAGTCCACACCAACCTACATCTACACCTACCTGACTCCACACCTACCTGAGTCCACACCTATCTACATCTACACCTACCCGAGTCCACACCAACCTACATCTACACATACCCGAGTCCACACCAACCTACATCTACACCTACCTGAGTCCACACCAACCTACATCTACACATACCTGAGTCCACACCTACCTACATCTACACATACCTGAGTCCACACCAACCTACATCTACACCTACCTACATCTATACCTACCCTACATCTATATCTACCCGAGTCCACACCAACCTACATCTACACATACCCGAGTCCACACCTACCTACATCTACACCTGCCCGAGTCCACACCAACCTACATCTACACCTGCCCGAGTCCACACCTACCCGAGTCCACACCTACCCGAGTCCACACCTACCTACATCTACACCTACCCGAGTCCACACCTACCCGAGTCCACACCTACCTACATCTACACCTGCCCGAGTCCACACCAACCTACATCTACACATACCCGAGTCCACACCTACCTACATCTACACCTACCTACATCTATACCTACCTACATCTACACCTACCTGAGTCCACACCCACCAGATCTAAGCCTACCTGATCCAGATCTGGATTTTATGTTAGGAACATGTCCTTCCCAGTGTGTAACCCACACGGTTTTCCTACCTCCATTTTTACCCCAATTATCAATCTTTTCCCTGCTGACTGGAGCTCCGCATTACCCATCCATCTGCCTCTGTTCTTGTATAGATTGTGCACTTCAAATGTGCTTTATATCTATAATAAAAAATACATTCTCAGGGGTCTGCACCACATATACACTGTATTGCCCCAAGTATTGTCCCCGCCCTTTCCAAATCATGTGATTCAGGTGTTCCAATCCCCTCCAATCATGTGATTCAGGTGTTCCAATCCCCTCCGTATCATGTGATTCAGGTGTTCCAATCCCCTCCATATCATGTGATTCAGGTGTTCCAATCCCCTCCCTATCATGTGATTCAGGTGTTCCAATCCCCTCCAAATCATGTGATTCAGGTGTTCCAATCCCCTCCAATCATGTGATTCAGGTGTTCTAATCCCCTCCGTATCATGTGATTCAGGTGTTCCAATCCCCTCCGTATCATGTGATTCAGGTGTTCCAATCCCCTCCCTATCATGTGATTCAGGTGTTCCAATCCCCTCCATATCATGTGATTCAGGTGTTCCAATCCCCTCCATATCATGTGATTCAGGTGTTCCAATCCCCTCCATATCATGTGATTCAGGTGTTCCAATCCACTCCATATCATGTGATTCAGGTGTTCCAATCCCCTCCCAATCATGTGATTCAGGTGTTCCAGTCCCCTCCCAATCATGTGATTCAGGTGTTCCAATCCCCTCCCAATCATGTGATTCAGGTGTTCCAATCCCCTCCCTATCATGTGATTCAGGTGTTCCAATCCCCTCCAATCATGTTATTCAGATGTTCCAATCCCCTCCATATCATGTGATTCAGGTGTTCCAATCCCCTCCATATCATGTGATTCAGGTGTTCCAATCCCCTCCATGGACACAGGTGTATACAATCAAGCCCCTAGGCATGCAGACGGCTTCTACAAACATTGGTGAAAGAATGGGTCGCTCTCAGGAGCTCAGTGACTCCAAGCGTGGTCCCGTGATAGGTGGCCACCTGGGCAATAAGTCCATCCGGGACATTTCCTGGCTACTAAATATTCCACACTCAACTGTTAGTGGGATTATAACAAAGGTGGAAGCAACTGGGAACAACAGCCACTCAGCCACCAAGTGGTAGGCCACGTCACATGACAGGGCGGGGTCAGCGCATACTGAAGCGCACAGTGCGCAGAAGTCACCAACTGTCTGCAGAGTCAATAGCTAAAGACCTCCAAACTTGGTGTGGCCTTCAGATGAGCCCAACAACAGTGCGTAGAGAGCTTCATGGAATGGGTTTCCATGGCCGAGCAGCTGCATCCAAGCCTTCCATCACCAAGTGCAATGCAAAGCGTCGGATGCCGTGGTGTAAAGCACGCCGCCACTGGACAATATAGTATATATATGGGGGCGGGGATAATATAATATATATACGGGGGGCGGGGACAATATAGTGTATATATTAATCTCATTATAAAGAGGACAGAGTAATAAATGATCTCCTTCCACTCACCTAGAATATTCTAGACCCGGATACATCCTAAATATAGAACCATTTATTTTAGAGGTAAAAGGAGACCTGCTGGAGCAGACGTGGAGGACTTAGATTGCACACAAATGGAGCAATCCTGGACATACTCTTCAACATCCTTCCGCAGTGAGGGCCACCTGTAATGATGCTGCAGGAAGACACAGGTCCGCTGTACCCCAGGATGTCCAGAGAGTTTAGAGTCGTGTGCCCATTTGAGTAGCTTTGGACGAAGGGCGGGGACAACAAAGGTCTTTCCGGGTGGGATGCGTTTAGGCTGAAGATGAGTGGTTGCCAGGATATGATTGGCAGAAATGATAGGCTCCGGTTCATTATGACACTCAGAGTCAGCACTGTCAAATGATCTAGACAAGGCATCCACACGGGCATTTTTGGAACCAGGCCAGAAGGTAATGTCGAAATTAAATCTGGCAAAGAAGAGGGCCCATCGTGCTTGTCTGGGGTTCAAACGGCAGGCGGACTGGAGATACTGGAGGTTCTTATGATCTGTATAAATCAGGATGCAATGTGGGGAATCCCTCCAGCAGATGTCGCCATTCCTGCAGTGCCTGCTTTATCGCCAGCAGTTCCCGATCCCCGATGGTGTAATTCTTTTCGACATCCAAAAATTTTTTAGAGAAGAAGGCACAAGGATGGAGCTTACCATCAAGCATTTGGAGAAGGACGGCCCCCACTCCCAAAGATGAAGCATCTACCTCCAAGAAAAAAGGCTGAAAAATGTCAACGAATGAGAATCGATGCAGAGTGGAAGGTGGATTTTAGTCTGTGGAATACGTCGACTGCCTCAGGGGGCCAGGTTCTGGCGTTGGAACCCTTTCGAGTCAAAGAAGTGATTGGGGCCACCAGTGAAGAATAGTCAGGAATGAACTGGCGATAGAAGTTGGTGAATCCCAAGAAGCGCTGTGTGGCTTTCAATCCAGAGGGCTGAGGCCAGTTGGAGATGGCTTGGAGTTTGGCAGGATCCATAAGCAGCCCTTTATCCGTGGCTATGTAGCCTAGAAAAGGGACCTGGGTTTGTTCAAAGAGACACTTCTCCAATTTTGCATACAAGCGGTGGTCCCGAAGACGTAGGAGAACAGTACTCACGTGCTGATGATGAGTTCCTAAATCTGGAGAAAAAATGAGTATGTCATCCAGACAGACAATGACACAAACACACAGAAGATCAGAAAAAATGTCATTAACGAAGTTCTGGAAGACGGCTGGAGCGTTACACAAGCCGAAGGGCATCACAAGATATTCATAATGCCCGTCTCTGGTATTGAAAGCTGTCTTCCACTCATCCCCCTCACGGATCCAAACCAGATTGTATGCTCCACGGAGGTCTAGCTGATTGAAAATTCGAGTATCTCGGAGTCTTTCAAAGAGTTCTGAAATCAGAGGTAAGGGGTACCGATTCTTAACGGTGATAGCATTGAGACCCCTATAATCAATGCAGGGTCTCCACAAAGAAGAAGCCAGCCCCAGCAGGAGAATTGGACTTACGGATAAATCCTTTCTGCAGATTCTCCTGGACGTTCTCAGACATGGCTTGAGTCTCAGGAATGGAGAGAGGGTAAACGTTACCTCATGGTGGAGAAGACCCAGGTTGGAGGTCAATAGCACAATCATAGGGACAGTGAGGAGGCAGTCAGCTGCTTTCTTACAAAAGACATCTTGGAAGGCCTGATAATGCAGAGGGAGTATCGGAGAGATGGTGACCTCAGCCTCGGGTACACAGAGAGGTGGGAGTGCTTTAGGGAGACAAGTCCGATGGCATTGTGAGCCCCCAGGACAATACTTGGCCAGAGTTCCAGTCTAGATCCAGAGTTTCAGTCTAGGTAGGGTGAGTGTTTCTGCAACCATGGAAGTCCAAGAATGATGGGACTTGAAGACTTAGGGAGGATAAGGAAGGAGATTTCCTCATGATGGAGAACACCAACATGCATAGTAATGATGTTCGTTTGGAACCGTAGAGGTCCTAAGGCCAAGGTAGAGCCATCAACTGTAGATACTGATAGGGGCATCATCAACGGGACAAGAGGAATGCCCAATTCAGCGGCCAATGATTGGTCAATGAAGTTCTTGGCTGCCCCAGAGTCCACATAAGCAGAAACCTGATACGAGTTCAGGGCCCAATGAATGGAGACAGGTATGATAAATTGAGGGAAGGTGACGGAATTCAGGTTCTGGTCTAGATCACCTCCCTCAGAGTGACCTAGACCCGAGTTTCCCGGAGTGGACAGAACAGGACTTAATTATATGACCTTCAGCCCCACAGTAAGGGCATAGGCCAAGTCTTAGGTGACACAATCGCTCTTGTAGAGTGAGGCATTTTCGGCCTAACTGCAAAGGCTCTTCAGATGCCGGTACCGTTGCAGAGGTAGATTGATCAGGTGGCTTCTGGAAAACAGGAGCAAATGAACCCACTGGGGCCGACGTGGACCAGCCCTTTCCAGATCTCGCTCCTGGAAGTGGACATCGATTTGGATACTAAAACAATCAAGTCATCCAGGGTGGTGGGTATGGTTCTTCCAGCTAGTGCGTCCTTAATACGGTCTGCTAGACCCTGCCAGTAGGTTGCAGAAAGGGCCTCATTATTCCATGCCAGTCCTGAAGCCAAGGTACAAAACCGAACTGCATATTGTCCAACAGTCCTGCCCCCCTGACGAAGCTGAAGAGGAGCTCCTGCAGCAGATGAAGTCCTGCCGGGCACATCAAAGGTTTTACGGAAGGCTTGCAGGAAGGCTGAGAGGCTGCAAACAGTTGGATCTTGTCGCTCCCACAGTGGTGAGGCCCAAGCCAGTGCTTCTCCAGAGAGGAGGGAAATCATGTACACCACCTTTGAAGGGTCAGTAGGGAAATGGGGGCTGCTAGTCCAAAGTGAACGAAGCACTGATTGATGAAACCCCGACAAGCTTTGGGGTCACCAGAGAAACGAGGCGGTGGAAGCAGCTGGAGTCCCGAAGGACTGTGTTCCACTGGAGGAACGGTGGGGGTTGGAGCAGCAGGAGCCAGAGGGTGAAACAGAGGGTGAGGAAGTGGACACAACCTAAAGCTGATCAAACCAGGAGGAAAGTTCCTGCAGACACTGCATAATACATTCCTGATAGTCCTGCTGGACGTCGACTCTCTGCGCCAAACACTGGAGTTGTTCCAGGAGAGGCTGCGGTGCCTCCAAGGAGCTCATGGCTTGAGCAAACTGTCAAGAAACCTGTGGTAGTGAGCCCCCTTGAAGACCCCTAACTCGGGGTTCCCCAGGGCGCGGAGTCTAAGCCCCAGCCTGCTTCTTCACCAGAGTCCCTGATGGTGGGGATGGACTTACAGCAAGCTGGGACCAGGTCGCGGCCCCCAGGTACACCCAGCTGAGGATGAGGAGACCGCTCATGGGAGCAGAGTGTAATCCAGGACACAACAGGGAAGCCGGTAGACAAGCCGAGGTCAGGATGGGTGGAAATCAAGCACAGTCCGTGGACGAAGCCGGGGTCGGTGCACGGGTAGTCAGATACAGGATTCAAGTGTAGCAACACACAGGAGATCAGAGAACTAGGAAGTTGCTCAGGCAACATGGGCCAGACTGAGCATGTCTATATATAGGGGAGCAAACTAGGAGGTAGACCAGGAAGTGATGGAAGGGAAGGGCAGACGACGGCCAAAGGCGTTTTATGTTTGCAGGTAAACTAACACAGTTGAATCTTTCGCAGAAAAAGATGAATTCATCCCATCAAAGGTGAGTTACTGCAAAGGACGAAGGATTACAGAAAATTCGTTCTCCCTGAAAATCTGAGTGTAGAGATTTCTGGTGTCAGTGACACCTGCTGGCCAAGCTGAGCTAATGCTTGCACAAGCACATAATTGATCAGTCACAGGATCCACCAATGAGAAACAGGTAAAAAATAGCAGACACACCCTCTGGGCGGGGTTCCAAGGGTTGTATTATCTGCAACGAAATAAATGGCAAGCCGGGTAGACATAGAGGGACGGACGCCCGTCATCATCAGGAACCACCATACACAGCCATCCCCTACGGGAGAGCATCTCATGGAGGATCCGGAGACCCGCCATCTGACACCTCATTGGAGGAAGGACACGCAGCTCCTGCATAGTCGGACAACATTTTGGGAAGACAAGCTCCACCCATTGATCGGCAGCCATCTTTGGGTCTGGTCAGCGGCCATTTGGAAGCCTGCCTGGTACACTTGGAGGGTG